TTTATTTTTTATCGATGCACATCTTCTAACTCCACTTATATATTCAAATATTACAACAATTTAATCATTTCTTGAAAGCCTGAAAACACCATTTGAGAGAGGATTAAGATTAAATTAAAGGAAGAGGAGAGAAGGAGAGCGGATGTAGTCTTATTTCGATCAATTAAATTAAGTTGTTTAGCTAATGAAATAATTTGATTGATTATAATAATTTTCCTTTTCCTCCACTCCTCTCCCATTCACTCAAACTAAATAGGTTATAAAGAGGATTAAGTAGCCTTTACAATCTATATAAAGAGTTACACTTCAACGAACCACCAATACAAGTTAATGCAAAATTATAAGCTGAGCAAGGGTCATTCATGTAAGTAGTGCTTAAAAATCTTGAGTCTTCTCGAAATTTAGTTAAGTAAGAAAATAAATATGGCCGATGTTTGATATACAACACCATATCATGTTATGCACTATATTATAACGAGACAATATTAAATGAGTTGATACATATAGTATTATTATGTTATGTGTGATATTTTGTAGAAAAATATTATATGGGGAGCCTTTTTAAAAAAATTATTAGTAGCTAGGATTTGAATGAAATTGTAATATAAAATAAATAGCCACCAAATTTGGTAATTTTATGGATTACATGACAAAGATAGCATCATATGATATCTAGTCTGATTCATATAACAAATTATTACAAATTACCATATTAAAAAAGTAGGATATATAACTACACCCATAGCTTCCCTCTTCCCCAATTTTTTTGTACTCTCCCAGGGTGGATGTCATCCAGAGTTCTGGATTTCATAGTCTCCTCCGCCTGCTTTATGCGAGCCAACTTTTCCTTATTGTGGTGAGTGTTCTGACCTTTCCATATCACAGTCAAAGAAATCATGAAATCAAAATTACAATTTTTTTTAGTACTTGCTTTATATTATTTTTTTAGCTGTTAAACACGAATATATATCATTGATGGTAAAATAATTTTTGATTGATTACTCACTCAGAGGATGGACATCAACATGTGTCTTGCCATATGGTATTTGAACATGTTTTTCTATAGTCTAGTAGTATATATAACAATAAAATGGTTAACTACAAACTCCTCCTTTTTTTTTCTTTTTTTTCTTTTTTTTTATTGTGGTACAGATATGATTAACAATAATCTACCTGAAGATGTTGTCATTGAGATATTGCTGCGGTTACCTGCAAATTCATTGATGCGATTCAAGTGTGTGCATAAATCATGGTATGTTCTCATAGAAAGCCCCCAATTTGCAGCAATGCAACTCTGTAATAACAGCAGCAATTATCTACTCGTCAATTGTTGGAACCTTAGCGATACTGGCAGTGTAGAACCAGAAAATTTATCATGGTCCCTGCTTAAATATGAAGATAGAATGCAGGCAACTTCAAATTGGGAGGACGATTCATTTGCTATGAAACATGTCAAATGGCCACAGATATGGTCAAGATCAAGTCATTGTAATGGCATTATTTGTCTTTATGATGACTCTACTACAATCATGGCTAACTTAGGAATTAGGGAATTCATGGTTCTTCCTAAATCGTGCATTCCCCTTTCAAGATCAAATGAAGAAGGTTATTATGAGAGATTTGCTTTTTTCGGATTTGGCCTTGATCAAAGAACCAATGACTATAAAATTGTTAGAATTAAGAATAAGATTCCTTTCGACCAACCTAATCTTAGAGAGTATCAAGATGATCCCCAAGCTGAGGTATACACCCTAAGTTCTAATTCTTGGAGACAAATTGAGTATGCAGATTTTCTTACATTCGAACTTAACACATATTTGTCAACTTATTGGAATGGAGCTTATTATTGGTCTGCAGCGCAGAAACGACCCCCGCCAGATGATTTAGTGTATGGAGTCTATTCTTTCGACTTCACTAATGAGGTTTTCTATTTTAAAATAATCCCTGATCATGTATCGTTCCCTTCTTTCCCCCTTTATGGAATGACTGAGTTTAATGGAACTCTTGCTCTCATATCATATTACTACCATGAGCCAGAGAAAATTTTCGATATTTGGGTGATGGATGAACTTGGAGTTAATGGGGTTTGGACAAAGTTAACATCGACTCAACCTCTTTTAGGAGTGGAGAGGCCTTTGGGATTTTTGACGAGTGATGAATTGTTGCTACTGTTATCAGGTGAATCTCTTGGTCATCAAGGTATGAAGATTGCATCCTACAATATTGTTACCAGGCAAATGAAGACTCAGCTAGTTTATGATAAAAATTGTTATTGTGACGCTATGATTTACAAGTGGAGTCTAGTCTCAATAAATAAAAGAAGAATCAATCTTGCGGATTTGAAACAGTGCCTTCATTTTCCTTTCTAGGATTTTATGAAAGATATGTGCTGGTTTATGAACAATATATTTATTATTATATTTATACTTATCTTGTGGATTGAAAGCTGTACTAAGAGTCTAAGCAACATACATTTCATACATAGCGAAATCATTGGAACTGAAAATACATGAATTCAAACAAAGAGGGTTTCTAATGAATCCCACAAGACAAAGTAAAGCCTTTTACAAATCAGATGTAACAAAGCAACATCTGTTTGGCCGAAAACTTAACCCAGCTATATATGACTGTTAATTTCTTCAGTTTCCATTAGAGTATTGCTCTACAAAATCAGTATAAAAAAAAAAAATTGCTTTAAAAAGCAATGAAGCGTTTCCTAGGTGCTAATCAGAGAACACCCAACTAAAAAAAATCATTCCTTTATTCAATTTTGAGTGGAAGCATGTAAATTTTAAAATGTCAACCAAATCAAGCATTGAATACTGAATAACAGCCCAACCCGTAAAAATCAATTGAGATTACATTGAAACTGAATCTAACTCAGAAAGTGTACGATGTGAGAGAAAACAGAGAAATAAGAGGCTAATCGAATCGAGAATACTGAATTTGAAACAGAATATCTGATTGAATTAGAAGAAACCCCCTAGATTGTATGCAATGCAGCTGCTCCAGACAAATTTTGAATCCATAAATTAAGCTGAAATGAATTCAGGATGAGAAAATCAAAGAGAAAACTTACATTTGAGAGGGTTTGGAGAAAGCAGAGCGCAGAGCTGAGGAGTGCAGGCGAGAAATGGTATATGGAAATGGTTCATCCGTTTTCCGTATTTTCATTTGTTGCCCTGACTCTCTTTTGTATTTACGTTGAGTGCCTTCTTATTACTTTGTTTATTTTACAATCCTCAATTTTTCATTTAACACAAAAAAAAGGGTCAAATATGCATGCAACCCCAATATTTTTGTGGAGAAGTAAATTGTCATAAAAAAGGGGTAAATTGTCACTTTGAAATTATATTTTTAATTTTAAAAAACAGATTCAAATTTAATAGTTATGTTAAATTTTCTTAAATTATTACTTTTGAAATCTAACGAAAAGGTAATGATAATTGTTAAATTTTTTTATTTACTTTAATTATGACCATTAATTTTTCATTTATCACATAAAATAAGTGTTGTACAATTTAATATCTTTAGATGTGAAGTAAAACTTCTAATAATGAGAATCATTTTTTATTTAATAGTTTTTATTTTATAATTTAGTGTAATTCAGATTATGAAAGATTTTGCAAAATAGAGAACTTTATTACCTAATAGAACAAGAAAATTGAAAGCATGCCCTGTCCAACTGGCCGTTGCTGGTTGCAATGAGCCTTGATTGATTCATGTCCAGTGTTCTATGGACAATATTTCTTTACATGAAGCGTGAAACTTTGTGCAGTCAGTGAGATGTGTAAATTGGAAAAAGGCATATATTTGTTTGATATTGCCTTACGTTGTGTGAAAATATCATACAAAGAAATTGTACCTGGAATATTATCGTTTTATGACTTCAATGTTTTTTACTTTTGAAGATAACCAAAGCAAAAATCTTTATCCACTGGCAGTAATAACTAATGATGTGTCCAATTTATGTTGAGAGAATCTAATGGGCTGGTTTGGTAGTGCACATGTAAGAGAGTATGAAAACATACAAGGAGACATTATATTAAATTCAAAAAATATGTTTATTAAATTTATGAGTCTTCACATATATATTACATTTTAACATTTTATTTCTCACCTTATTTCTCATTGATGCACATCTTTTAACTCCACTCATATGCTTATATATTGTAATAATTTAATCATTTGCTGAAAGCTTGAACACACCATTTGAGATAGGATTGAGATTAAATTAAAGGGAAGGGGAGGAAAGTGGATGTAGCCTTATTTTGATCAATTAAATTAAATTATTGAGCTAATAAAATAATTTGGCTAATTATAATAATTTTCCTTTTCCTCCACTCCTCCCCCTTTCACTCAAACTAAACAACTAATAAAAGGATTAAATAGACTTTACAATCTATATAAAGATTTACTCTTCAACGAATGACCGATACAAGTTCATGCAAAATTTTTAGTTGAGTGAGGCCGGTCATTCATGTAAGTAATATTGCTTAAAAATATTTGGAGTCTTCTCGAAATATAGTTAAGAAAATAAATATGGGTGATATTTTATGTATAACACCATGTCATGTTATGCATTATATAATATAAAACAATATTAAATAAGTTAACGCATATATTATATATCATGTTATACATGATATTGTGCACAAAATATCATCTGGGGAGCTTTTTTTACTAAAATATTAGTAGTTAGGATTTGAATAAAATTGTAAAATAAAATAGGTTAAATACTTTTTTTTATCCCTTTACTATTGAAAAAAGCCATTTTTTTGGTCCTTTTCTTAAAAAAAACTCATTTTTTATCCTTAAAATTTGAAATTCAATCACTTTTTAGTCCCTCCGTCAATTAAGTGATAGCATGACACAATAATTTGATAAATATTTGGTTTTAGTTCTTTTTAATAGTGATGTGTGATTACACATTAATAAATGGGATCCAAAAAAAGATATGAAAATGCCATGTGGGAAAAAAATGATGATGTGGATCAAAAAATTAATTTTTTCCACAAAAATACTTGGAAATACAATACTGATAAAAATGATCATATGAATAGGAAAAAATATTAAATTATTATAATAATTTTACTAAAATCATTTAATATGTAGTATTTAATTTTTTTACTATTCAAACATAAATAAAATAAAATATTATGTTATTGCAATAATTTTAGTAGACTCATTTAGTATGTAATATTTAATTATTTATTTCCTTTAATCAAATTTAATAGTTTCAATTTATTTTTTGTGTTATGCTGTCACTTCACTAATGGAGGGATTAAAAAGGGACCGGATTTCAAGTTTTAGGGATCAAAAATGAGATTGTTTCAATATTGGGACCAAAAGGGACTTTTTTAAATAGTAGAGGGACCAAAAAAAGTATTTAACCTATAAAATAAATATCCACTTAATTTGGTAATTTTATGGAGTACCTAACAAAGATAGCAACATATGATATCTACTATGATTTATATACCAAATTACGACAAATTACCATATTAAAAAAACTAGGATATAACATATGATATCTAATATGATTTATATACCAAATTACGACAAATTACCATATTAAAAAAACTAGGATATATAACTATCCTCATAGCTTCCCTTTTCACTAGTCTTTTTGTACCCTCCCCGGCTGGATATCATACAGAGTCCTGGATTTCAATATAGTCTCCTCCGTCTGGTTTATGCGAGCCAACTTTTCCTTGTTGGGGTGAGTGTTCTGATCTTTCCATATTACACTCAAAAAATCATGAAATCAAAATTACAAATTTTTTTAGTGCTTTCTTTAGAGTATTTTTTTTTTTTCTTTTAGCGATGCTGTTAAACACAAATATATATCATTGATTATAAAATAATTCTTGAATGATTACTCAGAGAATGGACATGAACATGTATCTTGCTATATAGTATTCGAACATGCATACTTTTCTCTGAGTCTAGTAGTGTATATAGCAATAAAATGGTTCACAAACTTATTTTCTTTTTATTGTAGTACAGATATGATTAACAATAATCTAAATGAAGATGTCGTCATTGAGATATTGTTGCGGTTGCCATTAAATTCATTGATGCGATTCAAATGCGTGCGTAAATCATGGTGTGTTGTCATAGAAAGCCCCCAATTTGCGGCCATGCAATTCTGTAATAACAGCAGCAATTGTCTACTCGTCAATTGTTGGAAACTTATCGATGCTGGCAGTGTAGAACCAGAAAGTTTATCATGGTCCCTGCTTAAATATGAAGATAGAATGCAGGCAATTTCAAATTGGGAGGACGATTCATTTCCTATGAAACATTTCGATCGGCCACAGATATGGTCAAGATCAAGTCATTGTGATGGTATTATTTGTCTTTACGACGACTCTACTACAATCATGGCTAACTTGGGAATTAGGGAATTCATGGTTCTTCCTAAATCATGCATTCCCCTTTCAGGATCACATGAAGAAGGTTATTATGAGAAATTTGAGTTTTTCGGATTTGGCCTTGATCATAGAACCAATGACTATAAAATTGTTAGGATTAAGAATAAGATTCCTTTCGACGACCGTAGTCCTAGAGAGTATCAAGATGATTCTCAAGCTGAAGTATACACCTTAAGTTCTAATTCTTGGAGACAAATTGAGTATTCAGATTTTCTTACATTCGTACTTAATACATATTTGTCAACATATTGGAATGGAGCTTATTATTGGTCTGCAGTACAGAAACGACCCCCGCCAGATGATTTAGTGTTTGGAGTCTATTCTTTTGACTTCACTAATGAGGTTTTCTATTTTAAAATAATCCCTGATTATGTAAAGCTACCTTCTTTTCTCCATTATGGAATGACTGAGTTTAATGGAACTCTTGCTCTCATATCATATCATTACTATGACCCAGAGAAAATTTTGGATATTTGGGTGATGGATGAACTTGGAGTTAATGGGGTCTGGACAAAGTTAATATCGACTCAACCTCTTTTAGGAGTGGAGAGGCCTTTGGGATTTTTGACGAGTGATGAATTGTTGCTACTGTTGTCAGGTAAATCGCTGGGTGATAAGCTTGCATCCTACAATATTGTTACCAGGCAAATGAAGACTCATCTAATTAATGATAAAAATTGTTATCGTGACGCGATGATTTACAAGTGGAGTCTAGTCTCAATAAATAAAAGAAGAATCAATCATTTGGATTGAAACAGTGCCTCCATTTTCCTTTCTAGGATTTTATGAAATATCTCCGCAGATTTATGAAAAATATATTTATTATGATATTTTTACTTATTTGCTGAACTTTTGTCATTTGTAATGGGTAATGATATGCTTCTAATTTATTTTTACAATTTTTTTTTACATGTATGTTTCACATGTTAGTTGATGTATATATTATCTTGAGTTTTAATATAGTCAAAAGAACTAATGACTAAAGAATATGTAAAATTGTAGGTAAAAGTTTTATAGAAAAGTTGTTCATAGATCATTTTTCATTTGTAACCTTAGCTGATTTTCAATCAAATGTTGAGTAAAGGGATAAATTTGCATAATTTGTCTAACTAGTAGCTAGGATTTGAATAAAATTGTAATTTAAAATAGATGTGCACTTAATTTGGTAATTTTATGGAGTACCTAACA